TTTATTCTTTTATTAAAAAAATATTCTGCATGTTAATAGTAATACATTATTATTCTCCTTCCATTTTCCTTCTGTATGCAGTCATCAATAGTGCTAAAAAATGACATCATTGACACGTCCAACGCAATGTTAGGTAACTTTTTTCTCCCTCCTGAATCATTTGACGCGTATTGCACATACTTTGTTTTGTACAATAACTTTTCCATTGTGTTTGACCGCAAAAATTTGATATTGCACATCATTGCTAACACAAATGATTTGTTGTTAAGATAATAAACCTATTCCTTTTGATTTGTCGTAAATTCTATGATATTTAAATCGTCTAACAATTTTCTTTACTTTTATTAGAGTAAATATAATGCAAAAATAAAGAATTAAATAATTCTTTTAATATCCGAAATTTCACATTTTATATTATTACTGGCAAAAATGCCTTTTCCTAAGAATAATTGATATTGGATTGTATACACAAAAAACAGTTAATGGTTATTACAAGTACAACGAAGTAAGAGCAAGTGCTAGATTTCTTATCTACAATATTTACCAGTACTAAACAATAAATACTATCAAATTTGAAGTAAACACCACAAAAAATAAACTGAAATTAAAATAAACGACTGGCATACTTGAATTTACAATAGTATTTATTCGATGTCTTTTGTAAATACTAAGTGTTATGCATAGGAATTTTACGTATTTCTCGGAAAATTCAGTAAATACCGTTTCCAATAAATATTTCATTCTTCATGCATATAGAACCGTAAATAAATGAAATATTTACTTACAAAATTCCTAGTAAAAGCCATTATTATTATTGCGTGATGGTAGTATTTTAATCCCCAGGTGCCGGATCCTATACCTATTAATTATTTTGTGGGACGAGTTAGATAGTATAGTACACGTACAGCAGAAACTAGAAATAGTAAAACGGTAGACCCTTTATTGTAGGGTGGAGAGTTGGGTTCATACAGACAGGGGAGAGAACAGTTTCCCCGTCAGCTGGAAGAATTCTGCGTATACATAGAGGTTCTCATTTAGTGCAAACTGTATATTATATTTATATCTAACTTAAATATTCTGACTGATAGAATACTATTGATAAAATAATTGTGTACTGTTTCTAAAACAATGTTCTCGAGTTTCAGCACATTTCAAGTCAAGGTTTTATTATAACTTGATTGTTAAAATTATTAAAAATTTTAATGTTTTAATCTTTTAATAAAAGTTTCACTATGTACATACTATTTGTACGTAGTTTTACCTTAAATTTTATATTTATTTGAAACAAATTGTTTGATATTAATAATGAGTTTAGTTAAAAGCTTTTATTCAGAAATGAATTTAAAATCAAACTACATTTTAGCGAACAAACAATATCAGTGGTGTGAACAATCGGTTTGTAAATATTTACTAAGAGAGGTGATGTAGAAATGAGAATAAATAATTTTTTTAAGTAGAATATTCTGTAGAATAATGCGAGCAATTTAAAAACGATATTTTAAGTTGTAAAATAGTACAAGGCTAGTTTATGAATTCTAGTTGCTATATCTTCGTAGATGCCTTTGAAATGTCATGTTGAAAATGAAAGGAATGCAACCTTGATACCGAACAATGATTATAAAGCAAAAACGACCATAATGTTAGATAGAACTATTTATTACAAACTCAAATATAGAGTAAAAAATATTAATATGTTTACTATTAGTTGACAAAATGATTAGAAATATTCTGTCGTTATAAGAAAATTAGTTGTAGCGCCTATTGAGGCTAATATATTTGGCATTCAAACACAAATGAGATTATAAATAGGTGATTTGCCAATTGAATACTTTTTAAAGTACATTTTGCCCATCCCTGATTGCAAGGCAGTTTACCGCAATGCATGAATGAAGATCTATGAGTTATTTCAGTTAAGAATCTTAAGTAATATTAAATTCTCAGTAGTAAAATATATTACAATTGTTAGACTCGAAACTATTTCAAAATTGTTTTCGAGGAAAAGAATATTGTGTCCTATAAATAATAGATATCGAAACATACGAAAGTACATAAAATTTTAATATTGTAATTCTACAGAAAATAAACAGTCATTCACAAAGACATCGCAACTGAAATTGTTCCTTAACTTTTGTTTTTTTGTTTTTATTTTAACTGTAATCATTATTTTAATATTAGAATTGAACTTTATGCATTATTATCTATACATCTCATATATTTATTATTTATATATATCTCAGGAGATATCCTTGTCTATATCTATATATTTCAGGATAGCACCCTTGCTTTTCAAATATTATAAGATAATAAATCTAAAATGGATTATTTTGATTTGCCAAGTAATTCTAGCGCTAAACGGTCGATCGTTAGTACGTGCTTCTATTTTCGCCAGTAACCGGCCACGGTTTACAATTACACCGTTGTTTTACCTGTACACTCAAACACTAGGTTGGAGAGTAATAAGCAGTTACAAACTGCAAAATTTACTAGCATGCTTCAAAGTTGAAGTCTGAATTGCCTATGAAAGCATTAGGCTTCATCATTTCATTTTACACAATTTTCTGGATCGTGAAATAAAGTGACAATTAACTTTCACTGAGTGATTCCATAAATCCTGTTAACTTACAAATAGAAATTAATAACATATAAAGGTAATGAAAATATTCTTTCTAATTTTTCACTTACACTTCTATAATAGTAACAATCAAGAATAAGAACAAATAAACCTCACATGTTCATTAGTTAATTATATAGTTAATTATCTTTATGTTACTTTTTATTTATATCAACAATTTTAAATCATTTATATCTCATTTATAGCTAACAATCATTATTATTTTGAACACTTCATTTCAAGGTGTATTTGAAAATTATATTCGTTATGTATAATTAAAAATCTTTATATATTAAAACTAAACACGAAATATGTGAAATTTTGTCATTCGTCTATAGCGTTTTAACGCTCTCACATTTGTTTGTAATATTCAAAGACCATACCAGGAGGCGTGTAGTTTTTATTCAGACCAGACGACCGACAAAAAATAAAAAAATACGTTTAAAACGCTAATTAGCTTAATGGTGATCGTGTTAGTAGCACTTACGTGCGTGTATGCAGCGTTTCGTAGTATTTGTTTATCACCTTCAGCAATGGCGACGTACACGTTTCACTTTCAATGAATTCGCCTTTCGTTCGTTGCTTCGCGTTCGTTTCCAGAAACAATGTCAACCACTATTCCCCGCTGTGTCGTGTTTGTCAAGGAAGTTCTCCTCGCGCAATGAACAGCGAACTTTCCCCGCATTAATGGCACTCTGTTAATTGACTAGAATTGATCGACGTTGCTTACGATTTTTAACACACGATACTACCAATTGACCTGCCAGATAGAAAATCTCACGACTACGTTTCACAGATGTAATTATGCGTGTTTGTTCATTGAATAAATGGTAAACTTGAAATTTGTGCAAATGGTTAAATAATTAGTTCCCTGGCGTGTGAGCTTAAATATCAACATTTTAGTGAACCGTTTGATTCTAGTTTCTTAGTATTTTATTTTATTTTGTAAGTAGATCATTTCTTATTCTCTGGGAAAAATGAATTTAATTGTTGAAAAATGTTCAATTTGTATGTAAACAAAATATCAGTTGGTACCTATATAATATATATATATATATATATATCTGTAAGGAGATCAAGCTTGTATTATCAAGTGATGAGTTATTTGAAGATATTTTAGTTTGTCTATTGGCATTGTTTTCTCCTTCTGTCATTTTTAAGTTATGTGTTTTTCATGTTATACTTTTTTTATATTTATCGAGATACGAACGAAGATCTGCAATTCATTTTTAATTACTATTTTATTTATCTTTTTATTTAACTTCAATTAGTAGTTATTATTTTATTTAATTTTCATTTAACATTCATTGACATAAATTGACTATCATATAAAAGAATGTTGCATATATAAATTCGGTGATATAAAGAGAGACACGTAAGACAATTATTCATTTCTTGTTATCTGTTATTTTTATTGAGATAAGAAGCTTATTTTTGGTTTCTTAAATGGAATGACTGATATCTTATTTCCGAGTTACGATAACATAACAAACGCTGCCTATGAAGTATTACCTATAGTATAATAAACACAGTATAAACTTATCAGTTATTGAGATATTTACGAATAATTGATTTTAGATTTGGAATAAAACTCGATTATAGTGAGTATTAACATGATATGCAGAGAAACTATGACTCCTAAAGATAAATCGTATTTGTAAATGTACTTTTTGTTAGGCCTTTGACATTATCAACATGAAATAAACATTAGTGTCAGTAAAAACCGCACACGCGAAAAGTGCTAATTTCATACGATGTTCAGTAAGATTGGAAAGTACGAAATGATATTAATTTACGGCACGTGGAATAAAAATGCTGTGAGAGGTAAAGGATTAGCTTTCAATGAATCGCATTGACTGTAACGGAATGCAGTTCGTACACCCCTCTAAATTTGATATTCTTTTATTTAACCTTTCTCTATTCATTATGTATACAAAATTACATTTTCTTAAGAGTATCGTTATCGTTATTAGAAATTTTACAAGAAAGTGATTCAACGCCAAAAAAGAATTTTTTATAAACAGATTTGACATATACAAAAACACGTTTACTTAAAATGTGTTAACTATCAGTAAAACAATTTCTTAATGGCGTATGTTGACACAAAGTGGCATGATGAACTTTGCATTGCTCCTAATTAAAGTTTTATCATATCTACAAATTTTCGTATTTTCTAGATCACATCAATCTTCCACTATTATTGCAAAAAAGATCCTTAATTATTTTCCTTTCATTACGATTCAAAACCGTAATATTTTCAAACAAAGACACACACCTTTATTTCTATACGCACCGAAAACGAACAAATTAATGATTTAATTAATGAAAATTACATGATTAAAATTAAAACTCTCTCCAAAATAAAAAAGTGTTTCGTTTTTCCACATAGAAAATGCATGATGGGTCGAGTAGAGTTTAAGAAGTTCCGGAATCAGCGAGAAACTTCGTAAGAAATAGACAGTTTAATTAAAGGACGAAGCAAATGCATTGCGAAACATACGGCTCGATGCCAAGAAGCATCGGTCAAGTAAAGGGATCAACAGTGTTCTAAATTTACATGAAGAAGGAAGAATTAAGTGTTTTAATTAGTTATCCAGTTTATCGGGAACGCACGTGTTCTCGTCGTGTTTCGAAAGGAGTCACTCGGTCGAGGAAACATGGTGCGAGACAGTACGTTGGCTCTATTTGCGCTTGTTAATCAGTTCAATTGAATAACGTATTAATACGTTGGGGTCATCGCGAAGGGTTTATCGCAATGTCCACGCCGGACACGATGGATACCATCGATGAAGCGGAGCAGGCGTGGCGTGAGTATTTTTATAACTCTCTCGGCTTTCTCTTTTTTCTCGTAATTATCTTTATCGTATCGTGTGCAATGTTAACACGTTGACTGCCATGGTGGTCACCGATGATCAGTACTTGCAAATTGCTATGAAACCATTGAGCCACTTATTCGACAAATTGATTAACACGTTAAGTGCGGAATTTAGTTTGAAGAATCCCTTATTGTGCGCACAATGTAATCAAATAATGAATTGTACACTCGTAAAATTTTAGGTCAAATGCACTTATAATATATTCTAACGGAAAACTAAAGAGAGACGAAAAAAAATTACATGTTGGTTCAAAAAAATAAAATGGTCCATCGTTGAAAAGATTAGTATTATTTAGAATTTTAAGATGACGTGTATACTCGTCAAACGCAACTAATTGCTTAACTCCGCAAAACAAAAAGCGGAGAAAAGTGATGCAATAATTATATATGGATATCTAAAATTTCTCTGTAAACAGAAAATTGAATAATTATTATAGAATGTATTTTACCTGATTATTACAGGTACAGCTTCAGTCTAAGGAATATGTAAAATGTACAAGATAATATATTCTTGAAGTAATTTTTATTATTACTGCAATTTTTAAATGGCCAAAAAACTTTTTATTTTTTCGTCGAACGAAAATATATAATTCTTCTCTGTTTCGCTGTAGTTTTTCGTTAGAACATTTAACAGGTGCATTTTTCCTACGTTTAATTGGTATACACTTTATTATTCGATTTTATTGCGCGTATAATAAGAAATATTCCAAACGAAATTCTACAGTTAACTGGTTAATGTTAAAATGTGAAAAAATTCTAAGTGGAATTAATCGATTTGGCCAATGAGCGGGTCAGTTGCTTTATATGCAATGATTTATGTCAAATAAAAATGTTTGATAGTATATATTATTAAATAATAATGCAACGTAAGAATTATATCAAATAATTGATGATTGTTTGTATTGATCTTTGCTGCGAAGAAATAAATAATACGTAAAAGGCTCGAGATTCTTATGGCGATCAATGTGTTAATGTCGAATGTCGATGAAAAAGCGACAAGAACAAATATTAAGAAGATACATAGCAATATTTGTTCATATCGTTTATATTAGAGTTTTTAATAAATTTGACAGTTTCAGAGAATATTTCTTAGTAATATTGAATGTCTTGTTCGAAATAAATTTGAAGTATTAGCATGACAATTAGCTGATTGCAAAGGCAACTAATTAGTGCTGTTTCAAATTATTATGTTATTCATTGTATTTTAATCGATTCAAAAAGCATATAATTTCGATAAAACGCTGTGTGAAATATCTATGGTTCAGTGCGTAATTGTGCAAAGGATGCAGGATTTCTCTCTCTTAGCAACTTATTAATAACAAAATAGCTCTCGTGAGCGCAGTCACAGCAGGAATCGCAAGATGAGATATTAAGGATGTGAAAATTTTAATCGCTACATAGCCACAGCGCAGGAAATAGAGTGTTCGCCTGCGAAATTTCACTTTTGTTTCCGGTCGCATTTAAATTGTCGGCCTACTATTTTACTTTTTCGTTCGGTTTACTTATTCTCTTATGTTTGTCCTACTTTTTATTATAATTGTATAAATCTATGTACAATGTACCCATACTTAAAGATGATGGTCGAATATTTCTTAAGTTATTAACCGGTGTTTATGTGTCAAAAGACACCTTTTGATATTTCAATCAAAAATTATTTTCTCAGATTAATTATTCTTCCTCAATTGAATCTTCGACATTTCCTATAGTTAATTTTATAATTGTTATAAACCTGGAAAATAATTTTAAATTCAAAGTTCAGAAGGTGTTTTCTGACACCTTCGGAATAGTGTTAAAAGTATCTACGAGAAAAATGCTTAATGAACATTATATGGGGACAGAATTTTTGGTACAGACGAATTTATTTCTATTTATTTAAGAGTTAATTTTTTTCTTTATTTATTTATGTATATATTTGTAATAATTATATATAGTTTTTGAGATAATAAATGTGCAAAGTTGCGATTAAAACGGAACAGGAAGTATCTACACGAGTAGAAAGTATCGATCACTGTGCGTTTTTCTGATGATTATAGGAAACGCAGGAATTAAGACAAAAAAGACTGTTACCGTTAACAATGTTCAAATCTGTTAAATTGCTTAAGTACGATATATATCATTAATTAATCCATTGTTGATGTTCATACATTTCTATAATTGTCAAGAGTAATTTATGAAAACGAAAGTTAGGTAAAACCTTATTTACAGCACTAGATGTTTTACCATGATTACTGTACGATTTATACAACACTAAAATTAATACAAATTTTTTACTACAATGATATGGAACTCTTATGTTCTTATGTAGCGTTTCATTATTTTGTATCAATTAATTCAAAATACATAAAATTTAGATTAAAAAAAATTGTCATTCTATTATATTTGTCACTCAATTTGCATCTGACAATATTTTTTATTACAAGTATTCATTGTTTTCCGACGAAATATTGATAACACCGTTTGCAACTAACATGAAGAATAATCTTGCATAAATTAAAGATCAGAATTATTTCATGTTTACGTTTTATATGTCGATAGCTTATGCAAAATTTAATATTAACTTTTGACGTTCATAATTTTGCTGTGTTGAATCAAATAACGCCATTCGAGGTTAATAATCAAATGTATTATCTTTACGAAATATTGTAGAACAAACTTATATTGCCGACTATTTACAAATTTCTCTATATCAGAGTACATAAGCAACACTGTACTTTCATTGCATTCCCAAGATAATACAATTTATTGTTTCTTTTGCTATTCATTCCTCTCTTTCGCCCTGCCTTAGGTACAAATTACGGTAGTATTAGATCATCCTATAAGTTCGTGCCATTTATTTCTCTACCATATATATGGCTCAAAGCTTTCAATAATCATGAATTTAATATGTACATAGGAATCTTAACAAATAAAGTATTAAATTAAATATAAAATTCTTTATTTAATTAAATTGTATAGAAATTTAATTTAATTTAAATTGGAAATTAAGTTTAATAATTTTAACACGTTGAATGCCGCACGATTTCATGGTACAGAATACTTGAAATGGAAAAAATATAATATTAAATCATTTGATTGAATTGTATTGTTATTCTTGCAGGTTCATCTAGCTGAATGTCACCACATTAGTCAGCATTATTTATAATATAGAAATGTTTTCAAATAATCATGGTTTCATTGAGTGAACTATAGTAATTCGATTTGGTTGGGGGTCACCGGTGACCCCCATGGCTTTCAACGTGTTAATAAAAATTAAATTAGAAATTTTATATCTAATTTAATGCAAAATATAATATAATATAGAATAATATAATGTAATATAAAATAATATAATATAATTTAAAATCATATAATATAATATAAAATATTTGATTAAATATATAAAATTCTTATAATTTCACGGCCTATTGCAATCGAATATCTTCCGCTGACTAAACTGAAGTACAAAAGTTTAGCCGCCCAAGTTCTCGTATCGTTCAGTGATTACAAAAAGTATAAACACACCGCGGCACGAACTTACGGGAAAGTTGCGGAATAAGACGAAAGTATCCACAATACACATCACTTCCGTATACGACATTGTCATACAATCATTCACCACGAATTGTCTGCGTCATTCATAAGTACATACATTCCGCACTAGAACCTCCCTCCCTACTCCGTGTTCACAAGAAGAGCGCACAAGAGGTGTATCCTGCTAGGAATTTTTTTACGGTTTTGATTGGTTATTTGTAACCAGTATTGACGAATATTAAATTAGTGTCAAAAATGAAATGAAAAAAGATGAAAGCTGACTAATGCGGCCCACATTCCTTCCAGAGCTCTTCTCGTGAACAACGCGAAGTAAATATCATCGAAAGCACTGCACACAAAGAATTTAACCCTTCGCACTCAATTTATTTTCAATGTTGTTGGGTGTACACTTGTATTTATTTTTAGGGAATTGTATTAAAGCAATTTGCATCGGTAGAATTTAACGTTTTATATTTATTTTCTTTAGTACTATTACAATAAGATTTAATTTTTATAATCTTTTAAAGTGCCACAAATAAAGTATAATAAATTTGTATTGTCATCTCCAGCATGACATACGAATGCAAAGGGTTAATTTATTTAAAAGGACTTGTTAATAGGATCTAATGAATTCTATTAATTTAAATAAGGTTGTCTAGTATTTTACGAAAAGCTTAATATTTATGAACAAATGGTTACGGAATTTGCTTAAAGAATAATATTTAAGGAGTGTATTTTCCTATCCACATGGTTTTTGACTGTAGTCAGAACAGCTTTTCATTTAATTTTATCAGTGCTATCAAACGAGCTTATGCTCACGTGTCTAAAATATTCAATGTGAAAGAGATAACGATCGTCTTTCGCCTATCGCTAGTTAGGGATCGCGGTATGTGGAAACATTGCAACCGGGCAAAAGCGTCGCGCCGCGGTGCGTGGCGTGGCGTGGCGTGGCGTGAATTTACGGAACATCCTTCGAATGTTTCGCGCGCGAAAGAATTCCATAAAGTCCGCCGAGTTATGGGATGTCCAGCCGTGTTTCACACGATGAACGTGAATTCCCTTTTACAGACGAGATGCTAGAGTGCGAGACCGGATCCCTGTTGGGCCGTGTCGCGGACCTCGAGAGGCAATCCTTGGCGCAGAGAGACGAGATAGTTTGTCTTCGCGCTACTCTCGCGGACGCGCTCAGGCGAATTGCCCAATTGGAAGGACGCGACAAGAGGGAGGACGAGAGGAATGAAAGGAGGAACGAGAGGATGATGCCCTCGCCTTTGCGAAATGGACACGTTCCGCTTAGAAGTAAGTACGCGCGGTTTGTTGTCTTCAGTAGATCATTGTCTGTCTATGATTAGGTAGCTAACGGGATAGCAGAGGGACAAAAGTGGTCGTGACATGTTTTGTTCGTAGTTTTGATTAGTTACGTGTATCGCCCCAATCTCTATAAATGTACCCTAAGAGGGTTGATTGTATTGCCCTTCTATCGCTTGATGGCTAGACCAACGAGTCTAACTGGTCATTCATCCTTCTTTATCTCGTTTTCGTTGCTAACTCGATGTTCATCCGTACAGTTATACGCAGCCAAGCAAAACTACAAACAAAATACGCCACGAGAGACCTGTTTTACCTCTATGTCTTCCTGGGAATCATCTCCTGCAAAAAGTACCTTATGTATTTCTAAACTTCGTTCTCGTATCGTTTTCGAAATTATCTTGCTATTCATCAATACAGTAGAACCACCCATAACGTGATCTTAATAATCGTCGAGATAAAATCTGATACAAGCAGAAGCACAACTTAACCCTTAACAGATCAATGCTACCATATAAGTGGCGTGATACTTTTACTTATTGGGTTGAATGCCGTGTATGTGGCGGCAAAAATCATTTTATGATTGTTATCATTGTTATTGTTGTAATATTCACAATTAACAGGTTAAGTATTGTGTTAGGTGACGTCTGTGAATTCGTTTCCGCTGTGTTATCTCTGTTACGATATTTTTTGGTTCGAATTTCACGTGAACTCCTGTAACACGAAATATTTTAATGGCGTACAGCTACTGTACAGTAATGAAAGACAGAAAAATATTTTATAGCTGCTCTGATTGACACCGCTGTTTTCTTTCAGAAGTAAATTAGAAATGTCTTACTTAGGAACTTTGGTTTAATTAGTTTCAATATACTAAATGATAAATAATCATCTTTATGTTGAATAATGATCTCTATAGTTTTCGTATCTAAATATTTTCGTGTTCTATATTTGACCGTATGAGTTTCCACGAATCCCTTATTACCAAACTGATTCGTACTAATACTACGCGTCGACCTTGATCTCCTTTGATCTACGGAAATTAGTTCGTTGAAATAAACCATGAAACTGAAAGCACCGATATAAATTGTAGACACGAATGATAGCGTTATGCCACGAAATTCCGAAGTTTCGGGGAGATCATCGTGATAGCTGCCAAGAGGAGTTCTGAGTCACTGATCTAATAGGTTATATAAAGATTCTTATTAGTCTCTGTAAGGAAGATAACATATAAATTATCATCGTAAATAAAATAAAAGTAAGCACAAAATATGTATTTCTTTAAAATAAATTCATTAAAATAAGTCCACAATATGTATTTCTTTTATATTAGTTTCTTATTTAGTTTATTTTACTAGTTTTATATTGCTTTTATTTGATGTAAGTATTTAATTAATTACTAAAAAAGTAATTAAAAGTAATTAATTAAGCTAAAAACAAAATACTTAATGAGGATTTTATTCCGTCCAAAATACTAAACAATTAGTACGTTTGTTTCATTTGTTTAAAACAAAATAAACTCAATATATCACTGTCGTTTTCGAAGAAAACTCGTAACAAGTTATTTGGACTTCCTTGTTTATTAGATGATTAACTTCGATTATCAAAATAAAAGAATTATTTTTATGTGATAACTAATATCACATTTCTACGATTTCGCGAACGCGTAATATGTTTTGTGCATTGCTAGTTTGCATAGCAAGCATTTGAATGCTTTCGTGACCCGTTGTACCTTCGCACGAAACCTTACGAGGTTGAACCGATTTCAAGGAACGTTCATCGGGCGTACCTGTTAGCACGCAACTGTTTAGGGTCATGTTCCATTTCCATTCTCTTTCACTACGCAATCCGTGCACTTGAAACTGATTTTCGAACTATGCGCTCGCGTGATCAATCAACAGACAATGTTTCGTGATAGCTGAATATTAACACATGGCTGATCGTGCATTTTTCGCAGCGTGTAGTAACCTTTTCAAATTCACACTTCCATAAGGCACGAAAATGTTTTGAACAATAAATAATGATGTAATAGCAATGATTCTTTAGTTTCTATAATTTAATTAAAAATAAAAAACAAAATAAAGAAGGCGAAAAACAACCATTTACGATATACATATGATAGTATATAAAGAGAGATTTAATTTTAATAATCACCAATTAATAATTACAAACTAAAAATGTAAGAAACAAATGTAAACGTTTATTTGTTACGAGAGTAAAAATATTCTTATTCTTTTTGTTGGTTAGTACTATGATAATAAATTCTTTCGTTCTATTATCGTTTTTAAATGAAATATTCATTTACAATGATGTAATCAATTGAAAAATTCGAATTATTTAAGTACTTTTTAAGTATTTCAGAGTCTCTGTAATGAATGTTGTAATAATTTATTTTAAGCCCTCAGAAACAGTGTTTTATAATTAATGTTTATATGTTTCTAGGTAATCAAAATTCAGTTCCCCAAAAAGATATACGCTTACGCCAAACTAACAGCTCTTGTTTGAGGAATTCTTCTTCCTCAGGATCTTCTCAGGATGTTAGGGATTCTATGTCCAGCCCACGGAGGCCAGTCAGTTATACACATTCGTCACAACTTCCTCAAAGGTACAATTTATTCATGATGCAAACTTTTTACATGTTTTGTCAAATCAAAATCGCTTCTAAATCCAATATTTTTCATACTGTTTCGTGACTTAATAGTTTAGTTTATTTATTTTTCAAAGTATTTGAATGAAAAACCAAATTTTTTAAGTAACTATTTTTTCTACACATAGGTTGTATAGTTTAATGAAATTATTGAATTAAACAATTTTATTCATTTTGTAAAGAAGTCAAGCAAGTAATGCTTTCAATACTTTCAGTATAACATCGTGTTCGAAAAAACATTGAACACGTGTTTCTGTATATTTGGAAGTAACACGTAACACTTTTGAAATGAAAATAATTTTTAATCAAACACTATGGAAACTATTAGTGATAATAAAAAATGTTAAATACGGAGTAGTTATATTTCTAAATATAGTAATTACATGTTATTATTGTTATTTTATTTCTATATTATTATTACTATTAAAAATATTTTATCTTTATTCAATTTTAAAGTACCATTTAACAGATAATGTTGTTAGGATTTTCATTTAACCCTTTAACTGTGATAAGTCTGAATAACTGTCCACAACACTGTACAAAATTTCGAGTGTTAGATATTCGAGATTATCAAATAAACATCGATAACATACTAATTTCGATATTTCTTTAAACTTTCCATATTTCTAAATTATCTTAATCACTGGTATAGATGCTATATTATCTTCTAACTTCTTAGTTCTTCAAGCAATATTTAATTATAGAGTTTAAATCCTAAGTTAGATTCTAGATTTAAACAATAAATCTACATTTAGCATTTAAATCCTAAATTAGAGTTTAAATTTCAAGAATACATTTAAATTTAGCATTTAAATTCTAAACTAAAGTTTAAATTTCAACAATACAAAATTTAGCATTTATAGATGAGTATCCACCGACTAATTCTTAATAATTTACTAGCTTGAGCACTTTAACAAAAACTTACCAAAAAATACAAAAATTCACTTCAATTAGCTTACGCAGAGATGATTCTTTCAAGTCAATAGGCCGTTACAAGTGATCTACACAGTTAAAGGGTTAAAGCGAAGGTTGATCATGAGTGACAAACAAGGTTGATGTTAGGAACAGACGAGGTAAACTTAATTTCCCTTTCAGAAGGTCAGTTCATTACCAATCGACTGGTTCGTTACACTCGGACAGTCCCAGTAGTAGTAGCGTTTCCCCGGTGCCATCGCCAAGTCCCCGAGCCACGCCACTGCCCGTAGCCAGGTATGTGCCATCAAATTAAATTAATGGACATTCCATTCAATGTTCTCATCTTTTAAATCAGATTACTTGTAAGTTTATTACGCTTAATATGCTTATGCCCGATCTTTTTTGCGCTATGAACCTATTTGAAAAAATACCTTATCACAAAAGTGATGCAGTTACGAAAGGGATAAATTGTAATATATGCACGTACACGATTTTGTTCATACTTCAGAAAAAGTCTTGAAGATTTTAAAGATTTTCTTTTCCTTTTTAATAAAATATAGAATATTCCAGTGATATGAAATGTCTTGATAATTATAGAATAATAGGTACTCTGTATAGAAAATGCTCTTCGAATATTCGAAACAATTACATTATTCAAGAGTCTTGTACTCTGTCAATCTTCAGTGAATCAAATTTTAGTTCCCTTATTTTGTTTTTCCTAACATATTCTAAATAATGATTATTAAACCAATAATATTAGATTAACAGTATATAAAAATATTTAAAAATAACTGTACATTCAGATAAAAACGTCAACTATATAATCTGAATATACAACAAGAAACTTATAAAGTACTTTTTTAATAACTATAAATATGTTCCTATATAAAGTGAGAGTTTAATAAAGGTATCTAATACTACACCATTTCTATAAGTTATTAAAATACGTAACATGATACTAGTTTAAAACGACAACAGTAACTTATTAATATTCTATTCATACAATGATAATATTTCTTTTTAATCAAATATCTTGAATCTAAATGAAGATATAATTCTACAATTTTTTAAAGCATCGTTAACACGCAAATAAGTTTAAAAAACTACCGAACGGTGAAAATAAAAATAGTTTAAAAAGTTACCGAACATTAAAAAGAAACATAATTTAATACTAAAACTACCGAACAATTAGAATATAGAGTTTTTTGAAATTCGGAGTTTCTTATAGTCTTGTATCTGTGCAAATACATAAATTTAACCGACAATCTTTCGCAAAAATGCCTTCATAATTTAAATACTTGCAAAATAAAAATTTTGAAATTGGTAAATTTGTCCCGTCCGGTAGTTTTAATGTTAAAAGACTACGAACGTCGAAAAGAAAAATAGTTTACCTCAGAATTATCACCTTTAAGCCGTAAGAACACCGAGGAAATCTTTGCGATGTCGCAAGGACGGACTAAAGAGACTCCGTATCGCATCATAATTGAACCTGTATCTGATGAAGCGGCAATTCTGCGACACAGGTAACAAGCTTCCTCGTTACGTAGTAATCCTGTTATTCGATAGATCACCGACAACAAGATCAAACGGTCCACCCCAAAGCAGCTTACGAAGGGCGAAACGGTGGTCGTCGACAGGGGACTTTACGCATTCGCCGCAAAATCAGGGAAGCAACTCACAACTTGTCAGCAGCAGGTAAACGGAAAATTGATATTCTTTATAGTAAGTGCACATTCCCCCCGACCTCCCCCGCTTGCGTGATTTTTTTCCTCTGAATTGCGCACCGACACGTTTTGAATCCACCTTGTGCACTTATGCTTGTTCGAACTTCGTAAAAATGGCGGCAGTCGAACGTGTTCGTTTTGCCTTCGATGGCCATAGGTAAATGGAGACAAAGGTTTAGATTTCGATGATTCAAAAGTTTAAAAAGTGGGCTATTGTATTCAGATTTAACCTTTGCGGTCGAACGTCGAATCTGACTCGACATAACATTATTTAAGAACTATAATTATTTTAATTATTTCTGTTCGCCAATTAATTAATTTATATTAGAAGAAATCAATAAAAGTCTTTAATTGTTTTTTAGCTTATTTTATACTTCATCCTGCTTATCATTTTATTAGAACTGAAACAAAGTTCTTAGGTATATAATGAATTGATAATAGTTGGAAATTCATTTGGACCGGACTATTGGGAATAGGAGAAATTCATTCGGACCGCAAAGGGTTAATGATGACATGAATTATTTGAAGTTTTACGGGCGTACCTCGATGCTGTTGTTGCGTATTTGTTTGATATATGTATGTACAGTTTTGAATAGAATTTTGAAGTGTTGTTGAGCAAAAGTTTGTGGGTTTCAATTTTGGTTATTATTAACATTAATATATTTAACGATGTATATTTAAATTATTTGTTTTAGGGATGAGAATAATTAGATTGTTGTGAAAATTCAAGTACCAAATTATGCCCTTGGAATTGACTACTTTCTACAGAGCTGTATAAAATTTGAACAAATTGCTATTAAGGGACATTCGTGAGTGATCTTAACAATTTTCAAAATTATTTTTTATTTACTTGTAATTTTTCGATATTATTTCGTTAACGCACACTCACTCAATTATTACTTAAAAATAAGATAGTGCATTTAATAAGAAGCAGTGTGATATTTCATTGACTAAATGAGTTGACTAAAATATTTCAAATATTAATATAAAATTATTTATTCTCGTATACATGAAATACACGAATTTTGGATTTAAGATCACTCGAGGAAAATATGACTTACATCTTTTAATAGAAACATCACCAAAGAATACTATTCTATATTTGTTTAACTGTTAATATCCATTAGTCAAAATTAATAAATCACAAGGGTAAGTTAAATCATCTATAAATGAGAAATTTGAAAAATTTATGAAGTTAACGTATACACGAATCTATGGAAAAAATGCAAAAATATTGTTCAATTAAATTAGAAAAAATATTTGTCATTGAAAGAATGCGATTCTAATGATTAACGAATAATGAACTCACATTCCGTATAAAGTAACAACAGATAAAAGATAAATAAATGAACCTATCTGCAAAACTGTACATCTACGTTATATTACTTATTCTCCTATAATTCCTAAAAACATTCATTCTAAACTTCGAATTCCTTGATAAATGTCTTCGACAGAAGCTGAACCGTTTCCCGGGTTCGAGCTAAAAACATCTAAAGTTGAGCGTCACCTGCGAATCGACCCAGTCGACCGGAGGCAACGAACTATCGATTACGTGCACCGACGCGAATTTACTTCCTGAATTCACAGATCATTAATCTTCAAAAGCGAGCGACTGTCTCCCGATTGGTTTCCATTCGCTGCTCACTGGAACTTCCCTTGACAGCTTACTGAATCGAGAGCGTGCAACCGGAAACGCATAATTCTGCCCGGCGAAACACGTAAACCGCACAAGCGCGCGCGTATGCAAAATCAACACGTTCGACGAGCCGCATGTGTACTTACCAAGTTTTTGTTTTCTCTTTGTCTCGCACCGCATGGTTTTCGTTTGCATTTTCGTTCATTATAGATTGTCAGCATCCACCAAGTCTCTCTTCAACCTCTTCAAGCCCCCGGCGATGAACAACGTGAAACACGGGTAAATAAAACACGTATTTGACCATTATTCTGTTTTTACTCTTGTTCTTTAACCCCTTGGCATACAATGTCGAGTCAGAATCGTGAGCACGTACGATTTTCGAACGACAATTACGAAAATTAGATTTTACTTAAGTACTTTGGGTTCAAATTAAATATTGTTCTTCCATACGAAACATTTCAGTTGGAAGTATTTAACACCTAAAGGGTTAAATAAATTTAAAATTATTGAAGGTGGGTACACAGATAAATTGGGAAGTTTCCTTTGCCTTTTGGTAAATTACTGATGACAAAATTATCCTAACAAGCAAGAGTTAAGCCCTTCTTCTATGATTTCCTTCACCTCTGTGCTTGATAAAAGTACTTTAGCCTTAAGAATTTATTGGAAAAAAAGAATTTGTTACTTATTCATTCGCCAGATTCACTTTAGACGCCAACGATTGATAATAGAAAAGAAATATTTCATTTATATTTTTAAAAATAGATAACATTTAGGTTTGCTAAATTGAATTGAAAATATTCATCACGAGTCTGACACGATATCATAGGGCAAGGGGTTGAGCTAACGAACCACGTGTACACGTGCAGAGCGCGAAGTGCAATCGACACGTGTCGCTGGCACGTGTGGCAACTAGCCTTAGATGCACCTTTTTGACTGGTTGTGGGTGAGCGTTCCTTTCGCGCGTCGTTTCTAGAAATGTGCGGGTATCCGAGATTATGGTTTCAGAACTGTGTTTGAACTGTCACGTCCGAGGTATGTGAAAGTTTTGGATAATGTAACTTTCATGTGGAAAAGATACATAATTTTAAATATTTGTATCAGATTTATTTGATATTAACTTGCTTACGATAAACCATCCTATCAGCATCATTTTAATCTGAGTTGTAGAAACTGTATTCCTGAATAAACCCAATGGAACAAATTTATGAGACTTCACCCCTTGCCTTACAATATCGTGTCAGACTCGTAGCAAAGATTTCTAATGTGGTTTAAAAAATATAAATATTATTCAGTTGTTTTAAGTTCAAATGCAACATTATCTGTATGGTTTAGAGTATCTGTAGACATAGAAAGAGCATAAAATCTTTTGTTTTGCTAGCGTATCATTAACGAAAAGTAGTTCTAACAAGTACAACTGTGAAATCAAATCGTAGGGCAAGGGATTAAGGAAAGTCTAGTAAAAACATATGCAAAGTTTCAATTAATGGATATATAAAATAATAATAAGATAAGTGAAACATCGAATAAGATATATATAAAAGATTATTATTTTTCTAGAAAAAAAGGTAAAGTATCCATATTTTTCATAGAGGAAGATGAGATGTTCCTATTAAGCGTGTGAAATTATTTACAGATTTTACAATACAGTTTTATATGTATAATTCCTTTTTCACAACATTTTCTAAATTCCGCGTCTTCAAATGTTTTTGATCTTGTGTATGCAGTCTTTTTTCCCTCTTTCAATCCTGAGAAAAAGTAATGGAGTTTTAAGGTCACCCATTTTGGGAACACAAATATCAAAGGTTCCGACAATTTCATCTCCGTGAGGCTACTCTGTAGTTTCTTGTCCAATCCTGTTAGATTTTTTACGACCTGACCCGAAGCTCGGGTACTGAAACATGTCGAACTACCCGCATGTCTCTAGTGGTTTCTTCTTTTACATGTTTTAGTTTAAATTACACGGCTGAGTAATATTATAGTAATCTGACGGTGTGGTTTTCGTAAAAAATACTTCACAACAAATGCAAACATTAACTGTTAACTAATATCATGGTGAATTAAGTAAATAATGGAAACATTTTCTAATTCAAGAAACAACAGGATTGAAAGTATATATAAATATATTTTGTAAAATTTGTAATACGATAATATAATGTTTTAGATGATTCTTGTTATCTGGTTATTAGTTACTTAACTATATTCGAAATGATAAGTAGAATATATTACAATTCTGAAAAATTAATTGAGTGTATCGAAACGGAAAAAGAAATAGTGTTTCATAAATACATGAATAATAGGCGACATTAATAATTTCCATGCGTAAAAATGTACCAATCGATAAATCTCGTATTTTACACTGTAATATATATTTTAATCTCTTGCGATTCTATGTTGACGTATTTGACATTTAATTTTATTCTAATAGCTACGAATTTTATAGTGTTTATTTTGGTCGTTCTTAAAGACTTAAGTTATTTAATATTCTTAATTACTTCTACAACAAAGACTGAAAGTACATTTGAAAACTTCAATTTCCGACTGATTTATTGAATGTTCACAAATTTGGCTTTTTCGCCGTTTATCCAGTTAGGTTTATTTTCCAGTTAATTCGAATAATTGACATTCTATTGTAATTTAATTTCTCATCCACTAATTTGCAATTCGTTAAGCAACTACGTAAGCAATTTCGATTATCTCATTTAATTCGGCAACTACCTGTCAAGATAAATGGAGATTATGGAAGAAATTTTCTAAGATATATTTGTAAAATTCGATGGTAAATATTCCGAGGTACATTCTTAAGATCAAAATGATTAAATTTCAATTTAACACGTTGACTGTCATGGTGGTCACCAATGGCCGGAATGTCCAAATTGCTTGAAAACAATTACAAAAAGAAAACTGATATCGAATCAAAGTATTTAGTTATATAGGTAGCTAAATAATAGTGTGACTTGATATAATAGTGTTTATATTAACAACGTATAAAAACTGTTAATACAATAGTGTTAATATTTATGTTGTCAATAATATTAAAACTGTTAATATAATACTGTCAATACTAATAGTGTCAATAGTATTAAAACTGTCGATATTAATACCGTTAATAGTCTTGAAACTGGCAATACAATACTGTCAACGTTAATAATGTAGCTATGATACCAAACACTTAATAATTCATTCCAATACCATCTGCATTTCTTATGAAACGATAAATATCGTTACAGAAAACGATAAAAATTCTCTTGGTCTACGTGTTCGAAGGTTGTACAATCTAGATCATGGAAAATAGTAATTCGAGATCCTACTTTACTTGAAAAACACTCCGTACAGCCAGAGTAACGTCGGACAATGTTATTGGTACACGGAAAGCAGTCGATCGAAGAAGGAAGGATACGTGTCGAACGATAAATTAGCGTTCCTCGTACAGACAATGAGTTCGGAACAGCATGATACGTACTAGCAGCCGTATAGCATGTCGTTAATTACCATAATAAAAGTTACCTTCGGCATCCGACCTCACACGCAGATGCCGGGGACGCACGAGATTCCTGGGTGTGATGAACCCACCTCCGCAAACTGTGCACGAGAAACACGTGCATGCATAATGCATTCGCGCGGCAAGCGTGAAAGATCTATTTTTAATTTTAAATGTCAAACGCTTATTTGGAGCATATTGAGCCGATAAATAGCTTTCCTTTCCGCGCGTGAAAGGAAAACCTTGCTCGCAGCATGACTCGCCTTTCCTTTCTTCCTCTGAATCGCAAACCCTTGAAACACACTTTGCTTTTAGTTCCGTTTCACTCATCTGCTTCTTTGAAATTTGCTTTTATCTTGTCCCCCTGACTGTCAGTAATGTAAACGATAGGCCAAAATGTCTTGTAGTATTTTGTGAAGTTTAATCCGTTAACTGTGGACTTTAGTTTAGAGAATCCCTCGTTTTGCGCATAATACAGTGAAAAAATAGAGCTTGTACTCGTCGAACGCAGGACGAATGCACCTAGGGCATATTTTAATGAAAGAACGAAGCGGAATAAAAGAGAGTTACATGTTTATCTGAAAAAATAAACGATTCATCGTTGAAAGAACTAGTATCGTTTGAAGCTTTAAAATGACGTGTATACTCGTCTAACACAGTTAACTGGTTAAAGAAAACTGTTGCTGTACCAAATTAAACTTTATTGGGATATGGGATGTGTATTTTATTCGAAGATA